ATTAATTTCAAAATTCAAAAATTTTAAAATGAAAACCGGAAAACTAAAAAATTAAGAATTTGTAAAAAAGAATCTGTTACTTTTTCAATTTTCCAATTTCGTGAAAATTGTATCATTGAAACAATGAAGAATACAAAAATTTTAAATGAAAAATCCAAAAATTTCAAAATGAAAATCCAGAAACTAAAAAATCGAGACTCCGAAAAATTGAAACATTGTAAAAACATAGAAAAATTAAAAATAAAACTGCAAAATCGGTAATTGAAAAATTGGAAAAACGAAAAAATAAAAAATCCCGGAATTGAAGCATCAAAATATCGAAAAACGAAACAATTTTGCATTTTTTCAATTTTAAAATTTTCAAGTTCTTGATTTCCAATTATAATTAAAATAAAATTTTGCAAAATCGAATAACTGTAACACCGAGACTTTAAAAAATGCAACAATTAAAAATCGAGCAATTGATGAAAAATCGATCAAACGCAACAATTCTGCAATTTTTCGATATAATATTTTTCAAATTCTCGATTTTTCATTTTTTAATTGTTCAACAAAAGGACAAATTTATTCAAACTGAACTTTTAAAAAACCGAAAAATTGTAACGTTGAAACATCAAAAAACAAAATAATTAAAAATCGAGAAATTGAAAAAATCAACAAAAAGAAACAATTTTGCAGTTTTTCGATGTAAAATTTTCAAATTTTCAATTTTTAATTCTTTTAGGACAAATCTATTCAAACCGAAATTTTAAAAAACCAAAAAATCGGAAAATTGTAACACTGAAAAATTGAAAAATCAAAAAATTAAAAACTGAAAAATCGAAAAATCCAACAATTGAAATATCGAAGAATTAAAAAAATAAGGAAACTCAAAATCGAATAATTAAAAGGTTAAAACAATTGATGAATCGAAAAATTGTAATATTGAAACCTGAAAACCCTGATTAATTAAAAATCGAGAAAGTGAAAAACTTCTATAAATTAAACAATCAAAAATACAAAAAAAAATAATTTCAGAATTCAAAAATTTTAAAATGAAAATCGAAAAACTAAAAAATTAAGAAATTGTAAAAAACAAAGATGGAAAAATTGAAAAACTGTAACATCAAAAAGACGAAACACTGAAAAACTAAAAAATTTTAAAACCGAGAAATCAGAGATTTTAAAAAATACAGAAATTGAAAAGCCAAGAATTGTTCACTTGAAAAAAATCCTAATAATAATTATTTGAAAAAAGTGAAAAATTAAAAATCGGGAAATTTAAAAGTGAAACAATTATTAAATTGTAAATTTGAAAAAAAAAACAAAAACGTAAAATCGAAAATTTGTAACATTGAAACCTGAAAAAGTGATAAATTAAAAATTGAAAAATCGAAAAAACGAAAATTTGTAAAAAGATGGACAATCGAAAAATTAAAAAGCAACTTGGAAAGTCGCAAAATTAAAATATCTGCAAATTAAAAAATCGAAACAAACAAAAATTTTACTGAAAAATAAAAATCATAATGAAAATCGAAAAACTAAAAAATCTATAAACCGAAAAATGTAAAAATTTAAAAATCTCGAGTTGAGAAAATAAAAAATCGAAGAAACGAAACAACTTGGTATTACATACTTGTAAGTACTTTATTTTTAACTTTTCGTTTTCTCAATTTTTCGTTTTTTTATTTTAAAACAAAAGGACAAACATAAAAGTGACATTTTAAAAAATAAAAAAATCGGAAAATTGTAAAACTGAAAAATTGAAAAATCAAAAAACAAAATAATTAAAAATCGAGAAATTGAAAAAATCAACAAAAAGAAACAATTTTGCAGTTTTTCGATGTAAAATTTTCAAATTTTCAATTTTTAATTCTTTTAGGACAAATCTATTCAAACCGAAATTTTAAAAAACCAAAAAATCGGAAAATTGTAACACTGAAAAATTGAAAAATCAAAAAATTAAAAACTGAAAAATCGAAAAATCCAACAATTGAAATATCGAAGAATTAAAAAAATAAGGAAACTCAAAATCGAATAATTAAAAGGTTAAAACAATTGATGAATCGAAAAATTGTAATATTGAAACCTGAAAACCCTGATTAATTAAAAATCGAGAAAGTGAAAAACTTCTATAAATTAAACAATCAAAAATACAAAAAAAAATAATTTCAGAATTCAAAAATTTTAAAATGAAAATCGAAAAACTAAAAAATTAAGAAATTGTAAAAAACAAAGATGGAAAAATTGAAAAACTGTAACATCAAAAAGACGAAACACTGAAAAACTAAAAAATTTTAAAACCGAGAAATCAGAGATTTTAAAAAATACAGAAATTGAAAAGCCAAGAATTGTTCACTTGAAAAAAATCCTAATAATAATTATTTGAAAAAAGTGAAAAATTAAAAATCGGGAAATTTAAAAGTGAAACAATTATTAAATTGTAAATTTGAAAAAAAAAACAAAAACGTAAAATCGAAAATTTGTAACATTGAAACCTGAAAAAGTGATAAATTAAAAATTGAAAAATCGAAAAAACGAAAATTTGTAAAAAGATGGACAATCGAAAAATTAAAAAGCAACTTGGAAAGTCGCAAAATTAAAATATCTGCAAATTAAAAAATCGAAACAAACAAAAATTTTACTGAAAAATAAAAATCATAATGAAAATCGAAAAACTAAAAAATCTATAAACCGAAAAATGTAAAAATTTAAAAATCTCGAGTTGAGAAAATAAAAAATCGAAGAAACGAAACAACTTGGTATTACATACTTGTAAGTACTTTATTTTTAACTTTTCGTTTTCTCAATTTTTCGTTTTTTTATTTTAAAACAAAAGGACAAACATAAAAGTGACATTTTAAAAAATAAAAAAATCGGAAAATTGTAAAACTGAAAAATTGAAAAATCAAAAAATTAAAATCTGAAAAATCGAAAAAGAAACACTGAAAAACCGAACAATTTAAAAATTGAGAAATCGAAGAACTGCAAAAATAAAGAACCTCAAAATCGAATAGTTAAGAGGTCAACAATTGGAAAAGGAAAAATTGTAACCTTAAAAATGGGAAAACTGAAAATTTAAAAAACCGAAAAATCGAACAATTGCAAAGTTGAAAATCAAAAATAGAAAAAATGAAACCTTAAAAGTTGAGAAACTGAAAATTTCGATAATTGAAAAAACACTTGAAAGTTTGAAAAAATGAAAAAAAAGAAACTGTAAAATCGAAAAACTGATTAATTAAAAATCGAGAAATACGGAAAACAAAATTTTCTAGAAATAGAAAAATCGACAAATTGAGAAATTCAAAAGTTGAAGAATGTCAAAATAAACATCGAAAAATTGTAAAATTAAAATGTCGAAACCTAAAAATTGAAAAAATGAAACATTGAACAAAAAAAATTGAAATACCGAAATGTTGAAAAAATAGTGAAAGTAAAAAATCGGATAACGAAAAAATTAAGAATTCAAAAATCCAAAAATCAAAATATCTTGAAACGTAAAAATCGAAAAAACGAGAAACTGTCAAATCTAAAAATTATAACATTGAAACCTGAATAAACTGACGAAATAAAATTCGAGAAACTGAAAATCGACAACAAAAAATTAAAAAATGCAAGAACTCCAAAATAAAAATCGAAAAACTGAGAAATTCTAAAATCGAAAAGCTAAGAATCTTAAAAACTTCAAAAATCGATACGATTAAAAAAATGTTCAGACCACACAGATGAAAGCAACAATATTTTTCACTTAAAAATAGAGGGACCATTGGACGAATGACTATTTTCATGTTTTCTCGACGTTTCATGACCTCCAAGGTATGAAAAAATAAATCTCCTATTTTCATTTGTCTGCCGACTAGGTTTACTTTTATTAAAGAGATAATCTTCAGAACTACTGGTCTGATTGTTATATGCATTTTAGGAATATCGTATAGATGATAAAACTCTTACCAACATTTATCTCATCATCCCTACCAACAATCCGTTAATTAAATATAATAATATAAGTAGCTGTGTACTTGTGGTTAATGAATCCGCCTTTATTTATTTTTTAATAAATTGCAGGCATATGAAATATAGAGGAAAATCAGTGAAAACATAAATAACATGATCCTATACTTGTGGTTTATGAATCCGGCTTGATTTTTGTCACATTTAATGTTTACTATTTTCCATATTATCTATATTTTGTTTACTTAAAAAAAATGTTTTGGTGAAGATGGTTAACGCTCTACCAACGTAATGCCATCTTCAAAGCATGTGTTAAATTTCAGAGCAATTGGTTCAGTAGTTTCTTAGATAAACTGTAAAAAATTCACGTAATGACACATGAGATGACGTCATCAAATTTTTGGAGAGAATGAATACGATAACCTCTACAATAAATTTTCACATTTTTCTCTACAATTTTAATTGTTTTTTCAAAACTCTATATGTCTATTAGAGAGAAATTGAAAGTGGATTAATAAACCACAACTATATAAATACATCATTAAAAAAAATTTAGGAGAAATTTACCTAGTGAAATTCTCAGATGACGTCAGACCAACATAAAAATTATCATTTATTATAACATACTGGAAAAATAACCTCTAGTGTATAATCACTGACTTTTTTGACGGTAATTAATAAATCAGTTGTACACCACAGGGAAAAAAGCTTATGAAAAATTGTAAGTGTGTGAAAAGTACCAAGTAAAATAGCATTAGGAAAAAATTTGTAGGGGATAATATTAAAAAATTTGGGAGAATTTGACAGAAGTTAGAAGCTACAATACTCGAAAACACAGAAATAAGCTTTACCACTAATTTTTAACGTATCTCACGTTTAAATTAACTTGAAATAGGGAGTTAAAAAAACGCAAGTTTAGCAGAAAACGCGTTTTATATTTATATCTCCAGGCCCCGTTTTGGCCCCGCCACTGGGTCCGGGACGTCACGGTTGCATTTCCTTGGTACCCCGGGGTACAGGGCACGAAGTCCTCGATGCCGAAATGGGTTAACGTAAAACTCATGGACTGTTGCATTCACTCTAGTTGCCGTTCAGGGTGAACATCGAAAGGTGCTTTTATCCAGAAGAACACGCCGAATACGACCATTCAATAGTTTTTATCGTCGCAACAACAATCAAATCGAAGAAATGGAGAAGTACTGCCACTAAAGTTGCTGTTACGTGTGAGTATTGATCGAAAGTTTATTTTTTCGTGGTTTGAGGTGGGGAAGTTGTAGATAGCGTAGTTAACAGTTCGGTTTACTCTGGATTAACATTTTTAGCGAATTTTATTCGTATTTGTCACAGTTATGCAAAAATGTGTGTATTGTCATACTTATTTTTATTACGTTATAATTAGTTTGATGACCACACAGAATAGTTTGGCATTTAAAATGAGTAAATTAAAAAAAGTGTAAGACACACCTACGAGAACCGTAAGGTATCAACTAGACACGTAAATGAAGTTAAATATTGACATTAACCCTGAATTTATAAATATAAAACTGATGGGAAATTGATTATCGAATATAGGTTTCAGTCTGCAATGACAATAGTTTTGGTAAAAATTTGTAACCTTAATAGTAAATTACAACGCAAGATATCAATGTATGTATCATTTATTTTACTTATGTTATGGAAGAAATATATTTATAAATTTGCATCTTTAGGTTTGCAATAAAATTTCGTGACCAATTACGCTTCTAAAAATATTCCTTTCATTGAACACAACTGACAGTCACGCAGCTAGCAAATGTTATTATATTTAATAACTATAACTACTAGCTAAGGCAGTGACTAATAGAATGTTATATGTATCTCAGACAAAAGGAGTTTTATATTAGCTCATTATCTTTTGTGTTTTCTGACTTAGCAATATCCTTTGATATTTTTAGATTTTTTCACTTCTCTAATACAGATAGAGGAAGCGTTGATGAAATCATTATTTTTCAACACATTATGTTTTTTCTTTCAACTTTGCCAAAAATACAGTAAATTTCCAAAATTGGAAAAAAATACAAATCAAAATTTTGACCTTTTCCCAAACGTTTTCAAAAATTGCCAGAAGAACTTTTTTGTTGATTTCGACTTCTAAAAGTTTTTTCGGGCTCCATTTCTTCCAAAATTGCTATCACTTTCCCAGAATTACCAAAATTGAAAACTGCAATTTTTGGTAGGTAAATATATTTAAAAATTGGACTTTGAAACCGAATATTTAGAAAATGTTGATGCGTTATGATTTTTGATTCAGTTCGCCGAAATCTACCACATCTTGGAATTATTTGTAAATTTTTAGACAACTTCGACAAAAACTCAGTATTTCGATAACCGCCTGTATGAAATTTTTGACCTTTTCTTGAACACTTTCAAAAATTGCCCAAAGGGATTCTGTGTTTCATTTCAATCTCTAGAAATTTTTTCGCCCTTATTCTTCCGATAATTCTTACTATTTTTCTAGAACAGCCAAAACCATATAAGTATAAATGTTTGGGATATTTTACAAATTTACTTTGAAATCGAATGTCTCGAAAATTTTGAGCCAGAATTAAGACGTTATGTTTTTCGATTCAGTGCATCGAGATCTACTTATATTCCAGAATTATTCGCAGGTTCTTTGGTAATTTCGCCAAAAACTCAATTTTTCAATAACTCCTTGTATGACATCTTTTTCTGGAGCACTTTAAAAAATTCTTTTAGACATTTTTTTGTTGATTTCAACCCTTAGAAGGTTTTTTGGCTCTATTTTTCGAAAATTTCTCCATTTTCCAAAACAAGCAAAATAAATTAAATATGTAAATGTTTTCATTATTTTAAATATTTCAATTTGAAACCGAATATTTTTTGAATCAGCTCGAAGACATCTATATTTCAGAGTTTTTTGCACATTTTTTGACAATTTGGCCAAAAGCGCAATTTTTTAGTAACCCCCTGTTTGAAATTTTTAGCCATTTCTCGAGCACTTTCGAAAATTGCCAAAAAAGCAGATTCTTTTCTTAATTTTGATTACAACAAAAATTGATTTTTTTCGGATTTATTCTTCGAAAATTTCTATCACTTTTCCAAAATAATAACAATAAATTACGGGTATATGTACATCTTTGGAATATTTTAAAAAGGTGATTTTGAAACCGAATATTTGGAAAATCCTGGTCGAAATCATGATTTTCAACACATTATGTTTTTCGATTCAACTCGACGTTTAGAATTGTTTATGAATTTTTAATCAACTTTGCCACGTTCGAAAGTTCCCAGAAGGGACCTTTTCGTTGATTTCCGAAAAGTTCCGACCTTTTTTTCGTGAACAGTCAAATTTGAAAAACACAATTTTTTGCACCACTTGTATTTAAAAATTTGGCTTTGAAACGGAATATTTAGAAAATCGTGATCCGGGGCCGTCAATACATTTTTTGATTCCGCTCACTGAAATCTCCCAGAATTATTTGTGGAATTTGGCAACTTCGTCAAAAACTCAATTTTGAATAGAACCCCTGTATGACATTTTTGACCCTTCCTGGAGTACTTTAAAAAATTGCCAAAAAGGATTCTTTTGTTGATTTGAACTTTTAGAAGGTTTTTTCGGATTTATTTTTCGAAAATTTCTCCATTTTATCGGCACAACCAAAATAAATTATGTAAATTTTTAGGTTATTTTAAACATTTGAATTTAAAACCCAATATTTCGAAAATCTTGATTCGGGACACGTTATGTATTTAGATTATACTCATTGTAATTTGTTTCCTAGATTTTTTTTAATTATGGGGAACTTTGTCAAAATTCCAGTTTGTATATGATTTTTGATTTAGTTCGCTGAGATCTGCTACATCTTGGAATTATTTGTGAATTTTTAGACAACTTCGCCAAAAACTCTATTTTTCGATAGTCTGTATGATATTTTTGACCTTTCCATCAACAGTTTCGAAAACTGTCATAAGGGATTCTGTTTTTCATTTCAATCGAAGTTTTTTCGCCTTCATTCTTCCAAAAATTCTTACTATTTTTCCAGAATGTGCAAAGCGGCATAAATAAATATTTTAAAAATTTTACTTTTAAATCGAATATTTTCAAAAATCTTGACCCGTCAACACGTTAAATTTTTTGATTCAGCTCGAAGTTTTTTGTACATTTTTTGACAATTTCGCCAAAAGCTCAATTTTTTAATAGCTCCCTGTATGACATTTCTCCTGGAGCAATGTAAAAAATTCCCAAAAAGAAATTATTTTGTTTATTTGATCTTTTAGAAGGTTTTTCGACTTTATTTTTCGCAAATTTCTCCATTATGTAAATTTTTAGGTTATGTTAATAATTTGATTTTGAAATGAAAATTTCGATTTGGAAGCGTTAACACGTTATGTTTTTGAATTTAGCTGATTGTGATCTGTGTCTTATTATTTTTTTTAATTTGCAGCAACTGTCAAAAGGTCCAATTTGTCAAAACCCTTTCATTTCAAATTTTTGACCTTACGCTGAACACCATTGAAAATTACCAGAAAAGATTTTTTGTTGATTTCGACCTTTAGTTTTTTCGGGCTCCATTTCTTTCGAAATTGCTACCATTTTTCCAGAATAGGCAAAATTAAAAATGGCAATTTTGGGTACATTTAAAAATTGAACTCTGAAACCGAATATTTAGAAAATCTTGATCGGTTATGTTTTTTAATTCGGTTCGGCGAGATCTACTAAACCCCGGATTGTTGATTTCAACCTACGTTTTTCCGAATTCATTCCTTCGAAAATTCGTATCATTTTTCCAAAATAGTCAAAATAAATTATGGCAGTTTTGGAGTACTTAAAAATTTGACTTTGAAACCGAATTTTTATTCCGAAAATCTTTATCTTTATCGTAGATCATCAACACGTTTTGTTTTTTGGTTCAGCTCGTCGCTTAGAATTTTATATGAATTTTTAAACAAATTTGCCAAAAGCCCAATCTTCAAAATTGGAAAAATTAATTCATTTTTCAAACCGCCCCCCCCCCCCCCATGTGAAATTTTCGAACTTTCTCCGAACGCCTTCGAAAATTACCAGAAGAGATTTTTGTCGAACTCTAAAAGTTTTTCGGCTTTATTTTTTCAAAATTGCTTCTTGTACCACTTTTCCAGAATAGCTAGAATTAAAAACGACAATTTCTGGTATACCTACTTACTTATTTAAAATTGGACATAACCTCCTATAAGAAATTTTTGAACTTTGACTCCCAGCACTTTTGATAATTGTCAAAAGATATTCTTCTATTGATTTCAACTTCTAGAAGTCTTTTCAATTTTATTTCTACGAAAATTCCTACTATCTTTCCAGAGCAGCCAAAATGACAAATCAATTCTTGGGAAATTTTAAAAATCCAACGTAGAAGTCGAATATTTCGAAAATCTTGATCGGAGATCATCAACACGTTATGTTTTCCTATTCAGCTCGCGGAGATGTAAATCTCAAAATTTTTTGCAGATTTTTTGGCAATTTCGCCAAAAGCTCAATTGTTCAATAACTCCGTGTATGAAATTTTTGACAATTCCCAGAGAACTTTCGAAAATTGCCAAAAACAGATCCTATTGTTTTTTCGGCTTTATTTTTCGAAGATTTCTGCCACTTTTCCAGAATAATCAAAATAAATCATGTATGTATATCTGTAGAATATTAAAAAAAAAATGACTTTGAAATCCAAAACAAAATATTTCGAAAATCTTGATTCGAGATCAAGATTTTCAACACGTTTTGTTTTTCGGTTCAGTTCGTCGCTTAGAATTTTTAATGAATTTTTAAACAACTTTGCCAAAAGTCCTATCTTCGTAATTGGAAAAAAGTCAAATGAAAATGTTTACCTTTTTCCAAATATTTTCGAAAATTACCAAAAGAGACCTTACTAAAACTAAAAACGACATTTTTTGGTATCTGTTTCCAAAAACTGGAATATTTAGAACCTTCTGAATCGAAGCCGTCAGTACAATATGTTTTTTGATTCAGCTCGATGACATTTTTTACCTTTCGCCGAGCACTTTCGAAAATTGACAAAAAAGATGCTAGTGTTAATTTCAACCTCTAAAAGTTTTTTCGACTTCATTCCTTCGAAAATTCGTACTATTTTAAAAAAATTTACTTTGAAATTGAAAATTTTGAAAATCTGAATCTTTTCGATTCAGCTCGTCAAGATCATACCACAGAATTTTTTACAGATTCTTTGGGAGTTTC